ACTAGGTTTTGGAAAGTAGGTGATGATAAATAAAGGAGAGCCCTCGACAAAGTCTAGCAGACGTACCCATCCGCCCTCATGACACCGCCCCCGGTAGAAACAGATAATTATCCATCAACAACCTAAACGCCCTGCCCTCCCCATCAAACACCACATACACCCCCTCCTTCGCACTCCCATCGTCCAGCGCCGGGATGGTGCGCGCCCCCGCCGTCAGCGCCACCGCCGCCGTCGCCCCGTAGTAGGGCGCCCCCATGCTGTAGCGGCCCCAGAAACAGTATTGGCAGTTGCCGACCGTGCCGTGGTGGAAGTAGGTACGCGAGATGTGGGTGGCTGCGGCGCGCAGAGCGTAGTCCATCGTCCAGAGCGCCGCCCCGAAGGTGGGCGATACGTTGGCTGCCCCCCCCCCGGAGACTGTGGGGAGGGAGGGGAGGGAGGGGTTAGTTGGGGAATGGGGAAAAGAAGAAGAAAAAAAAAAAAGGGGGGGGGGGGGGGTTTAGAGAGATGGGAAGCATACCTGAGTTGGTCTCGCCGAGGACGTATTCCTTGCCCGTTTGTTGCTTGACCGCGGCTACGTCGGCGGCAAACATGCTGCGGACGTTGCTGGCTGTCTGGGAGTGCGATTGCAGCTTCTGGATGTCGCCGCCGGGGTAGTTGTGGTGGGCGTAATGCCGCACGTATTGCTTCGACGTTGCGTTCTCTTTTGCGATCAGCTGCGCGGCTCCCCATTGTGGAGGGGCTTGGTTCCAGTTCCCGGCTTGGATGATGTTGTTCTTGCCCACGGCACTGCCGATCCGGATATTCCAGTCTACCTGGGATGAGGCGTCGACCGAGGGGTTCCACGTTCCGCGGGCAATGGGCTGGCCATCTTTAGAGTAGTCTACATACGAGTAAGCGTTTAGCGGCTTTCTCTAGTGGTGTTCTCCTCACATTCGGGCTCATTTCCTAACTCAATAGCCAGGAGGTTCTTGACTTCAGCCACAGCTACCTTGGCGGCAGCAATCGTGTTGTCGATGTTATTCTTTCCTCGGTTCAAACCAACCACGACGCTCCCGGGATATGTGCCCGCAAGAGTCATGAACTTCGGTCCAAAGGTCAATGTCATAGGGGCGTCAGCCGGGTTCGCAACCGAGTACACGACGTAGGCCGATGTCGATGCGTCAAAGGAGGCTCTATCCTGCGTTGTCCCGCCAATGCGGATCGGCGGCCAGACTCCAGTGAGGTCTTTCCAGTTGGACAAACATTGGTTTGTTGCGGTAACGTTGGTAAGGTACGACGGAAAGGCAAAGAACTCAAAGGAGATGCCCAGGGGCGCTGGGTCAAGTGGCGCGTAAGAGTGCCCTCCGTCGCCAACCTTGCTCGGGATCGCAAAGGTAACGGCAGCGTTGATCCCCTGAGTGATTAATGCGGCGCAAAGTGCACCTAACTTTGCTATTTTTCTCATCCGGAAGACTCAAGAAACGTATTGTTGGAAGGTAGATGAGTTTAGATGAGTGGGTTAAAAGTTTGAAGCCGCCCTTCTTGCAGCAGGACATTCACATATCTAGCTCCTTGGTTTGGAGGTCGCGCCTTACCTCCGGGAGTTTGTTTCGGTGTTTTAGCCACCGATGTGACGCAAGGTTGCGATCTATTTGGCTGCAATTCTCCCGAATCTCGCCTGCTCTCTGCCGTCCCGTGTTTCTTGGTTTGGCCAATCTGTGGGGAAGCAGAGCTCACGGATAACACATTGAACCCTTGCCCCTTAGGGGTTTTGATAGGTGCTTTTCGGATTATCCGCCGCCGACGGAACGGAAGCGGACAAGGACTCTTGCCTCCGGAGTCAAAGCCCTCCCAATGCCTACACCGCCCCGGATTGAACAACACCAGGTAGAGTTACACTCACATGCGTATCGATATGGGGAGGAAACCATCTTGTTTTCTATCAGTCCTGTAACAAAGTAGGCAGTCAATCTTGAACTTTTTGGAAGCCCAAATCCTCAACACCATCCAAACTTCCCGACTAGGTCAAAGTACGCACGTCCAACCTTGGACCTAACTCTCCTTCTTTTGCCCTTTCATCCCATGATTCGCGGGAATGGGACCCTTTCGAGGGCCTGTAGCACCCTTCTTGTCGACCCTTTTCCGAGCTCGTAGAGCAGCAACAGCATCGTTCAAGCGCTTCCAGAGATCCTTCGACTTCTTGAGCGGCCCCTGGCAAGCATCAAGCACGGCCTGCCTGCCAAGGTCCCCAAAATCCAGCTGCTCCCGCGAGATGCAGAACGCCCCGTCGGCAACGGTGAGGCTCTCTCCGGGGTCGGGCATCTTGTTGAGCATAGTCAGCACGGAGGCACTCCGCCGCATCATCTGCTGGTAGGTGCCGACGACTAAGCTCTCCGCCCGCTGCGCAATCTTCACCAAGTTGCGCGCCATCTTCAGCTGGCGGCAAAGCAACTCAGGAGTTGCCGCCAAACCCTTGTGCCCCTTCGAGCCGTTCAACCCGTCCTCTCCAGCTTCTCCACGGCTTGGGGTTGCCAGGCTGACAAAGGACTTGCAGCTATGGCTTTTTGTTACACGCAGCTTGGACACCGAGCCCGCTCCACATCTAAGGCGGTCCCCGACGAAGCCCGCCGCTTTTCGTCGTTCGGCCAGCGCGGGGTCAAATGGTGGTCGCTGAGTAGAACAACTCCGCCGTGGGGAAGTAGGGGGCCTGGTCTTCGCCCTCCCACCGCTTCCACGGGGCCGCCAGTGTCGTGGTATCTGGTAGCACGGTGGTAATAGGGTGGTACTCGCTGATGAATAAGACGTTGGGGCAATGCTCCTCGGGCATCCCGTGGTCCGCCGGCACCAGGTCGATATTCTGCTGGAGCCACCGACATTTGACGGCCTGGTAGCAGATCGTACAGCAGTCATGCCAATCGCACTTTTCGTATAAGTTGAGTCCTGGGACTTTGGGTGGAAGGCCAATTATTGGATTTCGGCATTGGCATTTGTCGATTATGGTGGAAGAGGTGAAGTCGCTAGGCCCGCCGGGTTCGCTAAATGGGTCCGTGGCAATGGGGATGCGCCCATCATGATTGGAGAAATGCACAATCCGGATTTTGCACATGTTCGCTTTTGGCTTGTAGGGGTTGCGACCGAGCAATGTTGTTGAATCTTTGAACATCCACAAAAAAACGGGTGACGAGGAACAGAAGAAGGGAAAAACTGGAAAAGAGGAAAGAGGGAAAGGACGGGACTGTGCTCCAGGTCCTGGGGGAAGATACATTAAGTACGACGGACAACATTGCTGTTTTGTGGGTCTGGCTGTGGTTTCTTTGTTGGCATTGGCGAAGCAACGGAGGTTTTCGAAGCCCCCGGTGCTTAAGCACAAAACCATTGTCGCCCTTTCACCAACATGCTGCGAATATCGAAGGAGGTTCCTAGGTGTCTTCCTTCATTACGCACTTACTTTAACAAGTCCACTGATTTACCCGCTTTCTCCACGTTTATTCCCCTTTCCACGCCCAATATCACCAAATATCACTCGTTTGATACCAACCTTTTAGATGACGGCGAGGGACTTCATAGGTACTCACTTGCCCCTCTCTAGAGTTAAACGGACATCGAAAGACTTGAAGTCTCCCCGATTTCTGCAAAACAACCTGCCTTCGTTTTACCTTAAGTATTGAGGTAAGGTACGTAAATTCTTTTGATATTAAAGATAAAAGCGTGCCTATGAGGGTTGCGGATCGGTGGAGAGAGGCGGGTCGCGTCCCTGGATAAAAGGTGAGAAAGAGCTATGGAGGAGTTATTGGAATATAACCCCCATAAAACAGTGAAAACACACATTCCAGCTTCTTGTATAAAATAGCAGCCCTGAGTATCAGGTCCGATGCGTTGTGGAGGTTGATACAGCACCTGGCCGAAAGAGCCGACGTTCGCACGCCCTTCTCCCTCACCAGTTCCATCCTCGAGGTCATTCGGTTCATTTTACTTGATCTTGACCCCGTGAGAATCATGATAACCATCGATAGAGAAATTTTTATCATTGTGGCTGGAAGCACCTCCTGAAAGGTGTGTACATGCTATTAGTGACCCCAAGGGGGGTGGTACTGCATGGAAGTATCTAGGTGGCCCAGTGATCCGGAGTATTTCCAAAAGGCGGCCTGCAAATGATGCTCGGTTGCAAACTAACGAGGACACCGTTCAAATTTTAATTGATCCAGAACACTTGAGTCCCCTCTGATAATATTTTAACATACTCCCAAGAATCTTCAAGCTACCACCATTTCCCCGGTCATTCGAGTGTGTATTTAGAGATGCCTGGCATCCAATCGTCCGGCAGCGTGATACTTTGGTGTGCATACACGAATAAGACGCACAGCAAGACTCATCATTACCAAAAGGCAGTATAATTAGACTCCCTTCGTCTGTTGGCCTTGGGCCACGACATCAAGGTCAGCTGGGGTCAATCGGAGAAACATCGATTGGGCTGATTTATATTGAGCAAAATCAATAATAGGATCGGTTGTGAAGGGTTGGTTGCATCCGCTGGGTCCGAACCAATATTTCGTTTTTGTCAACCATGGAACTAGGCCCTGGGCTGTAATGGAAAGCGGAGTAGAAGGAATATTCTAGCCAAAGTGCATGCATGACAATTCAGGGTGCTACCACATGATAAACGAGGTCATCGCCGGTAGCCTAACAAAACCATGGGAGACGTTGGTTTGTACCACATAGTTCGATTTTAACCGGCCTTGTCTGCTTGGTAGGTTCCATCAGCTTGTAAGCGCGCCGTTCCCGGTGAGGATACAGCCCCGGGAACGGAGTACGAGGGCTGTGGGACCAGGGTAATAATAGACATATAATGCCATCACGGTGGGGAGCTTATAGCATGTGTCAATAGGGCTTCCTGCGGCATCGCTAGATCTCGGACGCTCATCGAACCACCTCGAGATGGACAAATCAATTATGTATAACTATGTTGAAGGTCTAGAATTAGTAAACTCAATTATGGCTGAGGCTATCTCAGTCAATAGAAGTTAGGTCTGCTGCGAGAAGTTAGTTCTGCGGCGAGAAGTTAGGTCTGCGGCGAGATTTTGCAAACCATTGCCATGCCAACCCGGTTTCGAAGCCGACCCTAAGTGCCATGGGCCAGCGCGCGATATTGAGATGCGTCTACGAGAGTTGTTGGGAACTAGGCGAGATTGTGCATAGATTGGCCTGCCTCGGCCGCATCAAACACATCAACGAATCCAGACGTTTGGTGACTGTCCTGGCCATTCTATAAAGTATTGGCTTCCGGTGAACATTTCGTCTCTGTCACCAGCTTCTTCTCCATACATCTACCTGCTCATCTTGATATCCTCGAAATTCATTCCACGATGAAGGGTTTTGCAGTTCTTCTAAGCCTTGGCTTCGTCGTCGGAGTCATTGCCGGGGAGCAGTGCCCCGGCAGCTGGTATCTCGAGCCGGATGACTGCATCTGCATGAATAGCCGGGAGGGGTACTTGCTCAAGGACCAGACACTGGGATGCTGTAGGTCGATGGGTTATAAGACGTATGACAACGTGAGTTTCCCGTCGCTAAGCTCGTGCAGCTCTCTCTGTTAACCGATCTCATCATGGTTTAGATCTGCGCCGTGGACCGCAACAAGCGACAGGCGTTCAAAGACTGCTGCAAAAACCTAAAACAGGAAAGCGTTATTGGCCATTGTCGCTGAGTTTCGGATTATCACGTCGAGCTGGAATCAAGGGGAGTGGGTTCGAAACTCCGTGGTAGAAGGCAAACGGGGCGGGGTGGTTTAGTGCCTATATCGAAACGCAATGAATTTGAGCAACTGACACAGTAACTACCCTTTTTTTGGGACACTTTTTGAGAAAGCAAGATAGAGGAGCCTTGAGATTGCCAAGAACTGAGTGGGTTTTGCAAGGTGCTGGTTTGGCTCAGCCGGGCCGACCTCGCAGAATTTCCTGACCCACTCCGACGAATTCCGCCCGTTTTCTGCAAGTTTGCCGACCGTGTCTGCCATGGCGTCGAGTTTTAAACGAGCATCCATCTGGTATCGTTTTCGCCCATAGCAAGTCAAAAGACCAATTCTTGCCTCTTTATTATGT